CGCAGCGGCGGCGAGTGCGGCACGCGGTAGGTCATCCAGCGCTCCCAGCCCGCGGAGAGCCAGACCACGTCGAGGTCCGAGATGAGCACGTCGTAGCCTACGAGGGCAGCGGGCTGGACATGTCCAGGATGCCCCCGCCAGCGAGGTCGGGAGAGGAGCAGGGCGTGGCCGAGCGAGACGAGCTCCCACAGGAAGGCAGCCTTGACCAGGCCGAGCTCGAGGAAGGAGCTCTTGTGGTGCCGGTAGTACTTCCACTCCGCCGCGCCCTCCTGCACCACCGTCTTTGCCGCGGCCGACCGCTCATACGTCCACACGTCGAGCCCCTCCACGATCCCGAGCGCCGCGATGCCCTCTTTTGAGCAGGCCGCAAGCATCTGCGCGTCGGCCGCGCCCGCGACCGCCGGCTCGAGACCCGCGCGCCGCACGTAGTGCAGCCAGTTGCGCAGGAAGTCGAGCATCGCGCCGGAGCCAAAGGTAAAGTGGATCACGGGCGTCGTCGCGGGCCGCAGCGACCCAAAGAGCCTCCGCGCCGGCTCGTTGAGGCGGAGGTTTCCAAGGATCTCCGGCGCCAGAGGCGCCGTCACGGCCGCCGTAGCCGGGATGGCGGCAGCGCCGGCGCCGCCCGCCAGTCGAGGCAGCTTCTGTCCGCGCAGGACCGCCAAGCCAGTAGTCTCTTGGCAGCGCGTGGCGGTGATTACGTGGGCGAGGTAGAGTGTGACCGCGGCCGCCCCGATGAGCGCGAGAAGGGCTGTTCGGAGAGTCGGCATAGGATCTCCGGTCGACTCCAGTCGTCGCAGTGGCAGGGTGAGAGCAAGAGTGGGACGCGCGAACACGGCCAAGCGAACATCACGGGTTTGGGTTTTCTTTCTTGACTCTTTTGTTACAAATAAAATGCAGCGAAAGAAGAATACGCGGCGGTCTCGAGCGAGGCTGGCCCTTCGACGTTGGCAGGCATCACGGCGGGAGGGTTTCTTTTACTTTCCGGCACGGCGCTCACGGCAGCTCACGGCGCTCACTCTGTGCACTCACTGTGTGCATGGCGCAAGACGCTGCTGCCACAAAGCTCCAGGCTCTCCATCGCGGCAACAGTAGCCGGCGGCTCCAGGAGGACAACCAGGAGGCGGGCTCTGCCCTCGAAGCGATGCTTGCGAGAGTGGACTCGAGTGCCGCAGACGCCACTCCTCGTGCAGAGGCGGACGCCGCCGCGCGGGTGCAGGCGCTCCACCGCGGCAACTCTGCGCGGCGGCTGCAGGCGGAGGAGCACGCCGCGGCGGCGGTCGTGCTCGAGGCGGGCGCCACGCGCGCGGCGGAGCGCAAGTCGGAGAATGAGCGGCGCTCGTCCGACGCTGCCGCCTCCGCCGCCGCCGCCGCCGCCGCGACCGCCGAGCTGGAGAGCGGGAAGGCGGACGCGGCCGCTGAGGTATCGTTGCTGGACTTGGATTTCGGCGCCACTCTGGTCCCTCCCGAGGCGAGCAGCGCGGCGCCACAGGCGGACTTGGCGCTGCTGCTCGAGCTCGACGCCGCGCCCGCCGCCATCCCTCTCCCGCCCGAGGAGGCGCCGCTGGCGGCAGCGGCGCCGGAGGCGGCGGCCGAGGCGGCGTCGGGCGCAGCGCCCACCGAGGCGGACGCCGCCGCGCGGGTGCAGGCGCTCCACCGCGGCAACTCTGCGCGGCGGCTGCAGGCGGAGGAGCACGCCGCACCGGCGGTCGTGCTCGAGGCGGGCGCCACGCGCGCGGCGGAGCGCAAGTCGGAGGT